TGCATGGGATATCGAAGAGATTGTCCGATGATTTCTGCATTCCATTGGGTCACCTCTCTTTGGAATGGGCACAAATATGGATCTTTTCCAATCAGTTGGCCAGATAGTAGTCTTCCAAATTTCTTAGCATAGATGAGTGAGTGCCTCCAGTGCCGCCTCACTTTCTTGAAAGATTTCAATTTTTATTCCATCAATTCCTGGTGCCTTGTTCTTTGTCTTGGACTTCTTCCTTCAGCATCATTGGCTCTTGATCAGATGCTACCTCTTGAAATGGTTGAACATTAACCATCTCCTTTGGGTATAGTTACTCTGTATATTCCTTCCATCTTCTTTTGATGCTCTCCTCATCATTCAATAATTTGCCCAGAGAATCCTTCAATAACAAAAGCCAAGGTTTGAATGTTTTCTTCAGTTCCCCCAGCTTGAGAAATGCTGAGCGTGTTCTTCCTTTTTGGTTTTCTGACTGCAGGGCTTTGAATATTTCATTGTAATATTTGACTTTGTCTTCTCGAGCTGATCTTTGAAATTTTCTGTTCACTCTTGTACCTCCTCATTTCTTCCATTTACTTTAGCATCTCTACACTGAAAAGCAAGTTTCAGAATTTCTTCTGACATCCATTTTGATCTTTTTCTTCTTTCTTGTCTTCTTAATGACTTCTTGCTTTCTTCATGTATGATGTTCTTGATGTCATCCCACAATTCTTCTGGTCTTCTGTCTTTAGTGTTTAATGTATCAAATCTGTTTTTCAGATAATCTCCAAATTCAGGTGGGATATATTGAAGGTCATATTTTGGCTCTCATGGACTTATTTTCATTTTCTTCAGCTTCAGCTTGAATTTGCATATGAGCAATGATGATCTGTTCCACAATCTGCCCTGGCCTTGTTTTGACTGATGATTTGGAGCTTTTCCATTGTCACTTTCCAACTCACAGTGACCCTATATAGGGTTTCCAAGAAGGAGTTGGTGAGCTTGAACCACCAAGCTTGTGGTTCCAACTGGCTTTGCACTCCAGTGCATTAACCCACAGTGCCATACTGCTCAGTTCACATCACAATTTGCGGTTCTAATAATAGTATTATGGTTATTCAAAATATCCATATTGCTATAGAAAATGATTTTTATCTTTATAAAGAAATGGATGATGATGATTTTGTTGGGGAAGAATGAATGATCCATTAAATACATTCAAGAGAAATCTGAGAAAAGTCACCAATCTTAACACAGAGAAATTGATTTGTCTTCTAAGGTTTACTTACAGATTTGAAGCTATGCAATGGTGGTGATGCAGTCCTTGTGTGGCACTGTAGGCTAAACACTGGACTGCTAACTTCAAGGTTGGTGGTTCAAACCCACTATCCACTCCTTGGTAACTCTATGGAAGGCTGCTATGAGTTGGAACCAACTCCATGGTACTTAACAACAATAAAGGTGGTGATAATTTCTTGTTTTTTTCTACCCCTCATAGTTTCTAGACCTCTGTTGTTCAACATGGTGGTGAGTAGGTACATGGAATGTTTAAACTCAAATCTAATTAAAATTAAGATTTGGAATTCAGTAACTAAGTCACAATAGGGTTATTTTAAGTATGGTATAGTCACGAGTGGCCACTGAACCGTACAGTACTGATCTAAGGCATGTCATCATCACATAGTGGTGATGAAATGAGTTTTGGATATATACATTTGAATCCCAATAAAGAAATTGCTATTTAAATTTAATGAAATAGTTTGTGGAAAATGGAGGCCATTTATCAATGGGATCACTTAAAAAGTTTTGGTCAGATAAATAAGCTGATTCCTGAGAAGTGGTTTCTATGATGAAGTCTATATGGATGTCAGATAGTACCTATTTTGATCCAACAAGAAGACCCTTAAACATTCACCAAGGAGTCCTGGTGTGGCGCTATGAGTTAATGCGTTGGACTGCAAGGTTGGTTTGAACAGCAAGATTGGTGATTCAAACTCACCAGTCACTCATCAGGAACTACACATAGGGTCAGTATGAGTCGGAACCAACCCGGCGGCACTTAACAACAACAACAAGAAGAAAGACCCTGAGATGGTCCTGACCCTGTGTGTTTCAGAGTAGAACTGCACTGTGGAGGGTTTTTAATGACTAGGATCTTTTGGAAATAGATTGCCAAGCCTTTCTTCAGACATACTTCTGGGTAGACTGAATCTGCCGACCTTGGGTTGTTTGCCGATCGCTTAAATGTCTGTATTGCCCAGAGCCTCCTCCAAGGTTCCCCACCAAACTAAAGCCCATTGTTGTCATTGTCGTAGAGCTAAGTGGATTCTGATTTACAGTGACTCTAACAGACAACGCACAACTGCCCTATAGGGTTTCCAAGACTATAAATCTTAACGGATGCCAACTGAGCTGAGCTCCAACTACTAATCTTTGGGTAAGCAGCAGAGTGCTTTACTCACAGTTCCAAGTAGCTCAAGCAAACCAAACCCACTGCCATAGTGTTATTCTGACTCATAGTGACCCTATGTAGGTCTTTCCCCACACCCACCACCTCACTGCAAACCTTTACAGGAGCGGACAGACTCATCTTTCTAATGCAAAGTGGCTGCTGGGTTTGAACCACTGACCTATGGCTAGCAGACCAACCCCTAACCGATAGTGACACCTTTCCAATGTACCGAGGCCCCTGGAATGTCCTGACAGTCCTTCTATGACCACTTCCAGGCCCTGAGCAGGTCTTAGTACAGAAGCAGTTCTCTAGCTGGTGTGTACTTGTAAATGTGAGATGTGGTCAAGGACTAGCTGACTGAGGTATGCACTTGTACCTGGATGGAGCTGGCTGACTGAGGTGTGCACTTGTACCTGGATGGAGCTGGCTGACTGAGGTGTGCACTTGTACCTGGATGGAG